AGCCGAACTGCAGAACTGCAGTCAGCTGAAGTAGCCTGCAGTGCTGCATTTAACCACTGCGCCACCTCGGCTCATTTTGATGGGCCGATGGGCTGCATGGAAATGGAATGAATGAATGAATGAATGTGTGTTTGTGTGAATGAAAGAATGAATGAAAGAATGAATGAATAATCGGGTAGCCCTTGACTTCTAAGTTCATTGGGTAACTCTTCGAACAGCACTGAAAAAGGTGACTTATGACTGTTTTTCATACTTACGACTTTCGCAGCATCCCCATAGCCGTGTGATCAAAATTCGGACCCTTGGGAACTGACTCACATTTATGACAGTTGCAGTGTCCCGGGAGGGGTGGTGGTCACGTGACGTCCTTCTGTGACCTTCTGACCAGCCAAGTCCACGGGGGAAAGCAGGTTCAACTAACAATCTTGTTAGTCGCTTAAGAACTGCAGGGGTTCACCCGCTGCTCGCACTAACGGAGGTGCGCGGGCACAGGTGCCCGCCTGCCACTTCTGCAGCCCGGATCTGAACGGGCCGTGGCCCAGTCCCTGGGCTACGACCCAGGGATGGTGGCCGGTTGGGCTTACACGCTAGTTCAAACAGATATTTGAATATATCAATGATAAACGGGTGGGTCCCAATGTGGGAGAGAGTTATCGAAAAAAGTCGCAACGGGCATCCCAATTATTGCTATCGAAGCCCGGCCCTTTTTCCACATCTCCCCGAAACGTACTTGCAAGGGAAAATCCCCATGCGCGTGACCAGGAATGCCGCTGAGAAAGTGATAAAGAGGGTGTCGCAGGTTTTCTGCCACTTTGGGTAAGTAAACATCTTGGCGGCCTGTGGGAGAAAAAGAGAGAGAAGAAAGCGGAGCAGAAATTGGCTGAGTGTCCGTGGTTCCTTCTGTGACAAACGCAGAGGCGGGACTCGGCTGGTTTATCGTTCGGAACATGGGCGCTGGCCTTTTTCTCTGGGTCTCAACTGCAGCGCCTAGCAGATTCTCCCCTCCCAGGAAGGAGGGTTGGGAATTGTAGTTTGATTCCGTTAAGGATCCCGTTACCTCCAAGAGGCAGTCCGAAACATCGTGGAGGAACATGATGAGGGAACCGATGCGGAGGCAGTTTAAGCAGAACGAGGAGCCGATGAGGACGAGGGTGACCAGGTGGTGCAGGAGCTGCTCGGGAAGGTCCTGCAGGGAGAGGAGAGGGCAGGATGGAGGGGGTTTTGAAGGTGCTCCGTGGAGGCCGGACAGCCCCTCACCCAGGGGGAAGGGCTTCGAGAGGAACTAGAGGGCTCCTCACCCTTCAGGCGAGAAAGGGAACGACCGAGGGGGGTCAGAAACGCAGATGGAAGAGATTCCGGCTTCCAGCTTCATTCTGCGCATCTGGTTGGAAACTGACAAGGAGCATTGGACAATTCCCCTTTCCTTCTCTTCCCCTCATCCCTCCTCTCCTCTATTTCCTTCTCCTCCTCTCCTCCCTCCCCTCCCCTTCTTCCCTTCCCTTCACCCCTCCTCTCTCCTCCCCATCCCATCCTTTCTTCTCCCCTTCCCTTCATCTCTTCCCATCCCTTTCCTCATCCATCCTTTCTCCTCCCCTTCATCGTTTCCTTTCCCCTTGTATCCCCCCCTTCACTTCTTCTCATACCTCCCCTTCGTCTCTTCCCTTCTTCCCATCCCTTCCCCTCATCCCTTCATCTCTTCCCATCTCTTTCCTTCATTCCCCCTTCCCCTCATATCCATTTCTTCCCATCCCTTCCTTTCATCCCTCCTTTCCTCTTCCCTCCCCTTCTCTTCCCTTCCCCTCCCTTCCCTTCATCTCTTCCCATCTCTTTCCTTCATCCCTCCCCTCCTCTTCCCTCCTTCCTATCCCTTCTCATCCCTGCCTCCCCTTCTTTAATCTCTTCCCATCCCTTCCCTTCATCCCTCCTCTCCCCTCCCCTTCTTCTTCTCTCTTCCCCTTATGAGCCAAGGTGGCGCAGTGGTTAAATGCAGCACTGCAGGCTACTGCTAGATCAGCAGTTCAGCGGTTCAAATCTCACCGGCTCAGGGTT